TTGTGTTTTTGGTGAAGTTTTATACAGAAGTTTGGATTCCCATTCAACAATTTCCACACAAGATGTTCAATAACATTGTTTATAATGTGTGAACATTCTCCTTACTTCCATTCTGGTTGTTCTGTTTCTAGTAATCTAGTTATCCTGCCCCCTTACATTTTCATCTTTGTTTTAAAGCAATTGTAGACCATTTGGTCTCATATAAAAGATCACCAACCTTTTGGTTAGAAGTTGAGTGCAAACCTATTGTGCCACTTGGGGACTTTTCCAATATTTCATATGTGCCCCCATATTGCCTACAGTCTTCATGATTAGGTGGGGCCATATGACTGATCTGGATCCTGTTCATTGAGCAAAATCATAGAAAACAAGAGTTCTCCTCTACTCTGGTCCTGTATGGACCATGAACACAAAGGATTTATATTCAGATAGTGTATCTACAAGGTCAAAGTCCCCGCAATGAGTAAACCACATGGCCCAGTAAACTGCCTGAACCACCAGAGGGCATTGTAGAGATGGAAATAAATTTTTGCTGTGTTAAGCCGTTGAAATAACCTGTAGTGTCCTGACAAATACACCTTTCTCATCACTTTAATCAAAAAATATCCTGGATCTTCATATTAAGTGCTTATTTTGGCTTGCATTCATTCACTCAGCACTTACTGACCATCCACCATGTGTTGGGCATTGCTTTCAGTGCTGAGGATCCCATGATGAACAAAACAAAGTCCCTGCAGCCTAGGGAGCTTACAATGTAGTAAGGAAGACAGACAATTTAAAAAAAAAAAAAAAAAAAATCAGGTAGTGATAAATAAAACAAAGAGAAATAAAGATCTTAATTAGTGATCCCATGACCTTTTCATTAAGTCCTACCTCTCTCATGTCCTTACTTAAATCTTATTGTCCTTTGTTAAATTAATTGTCCTTAACTCACTTACCCTTCTCTCCTTTCTTCGTACTTGCCTGGCAAAATCCCAACCTGGTTAAATCCAATTCTTTGCCTTCTCTCACCTACTCTCAGGTAGCTGAGCATGGCTGGAGAAAAATAATACTGACTGGTGTCATTTAGACTTCCTGGCCATTAATCTCAATGAGTCCTTGTAGCTGCCTGACAGTCGTACTGTATTTCCTAATCCATTCATTTCCCATTCTCCTAGACGACTAGTTCACATTTCCTCTCTCCTGAAACATCTATTCACTGTCAATGATTTTGCTCCTATTTCACTGAGAAACTGAAAGGAATCAGAAGATATAAAACTCTCAAAACATCTAACAACCCCCCTCCCCTGCATCGGTCTCCATCTTCTCTGTCTTCTTCCTGTTTCTATGTAGAAACCATGCATCATCTTATCTAAAGACAACTCCTGCACCTGTGCACTAGATTCCGTCTCCTCTCATCTACTCTGGTGATATGGAGATGTGCCACCCAGATCTCCCTTCAAGGTAGGACCTGAAACCCAGCTGCAGTAGAGCATATCCATCTGTCAGCTTCCTGGGGCAGCTTGCATTTAGGGACTGAGCAAGGTGGGGATAGTTAAAGTCTGGTCAGGCAGTCACAACCTTCTGAAAGGAAGTACTTGCTCCAGAGTTCCCACTAGGGTTGGCTGAGGCTTTGTGGGGCCTGCTTTGCAGTTTGATTCCTTCCTTTGCCCATCTGTGCTTCCTTCCACTTTCTTTCACCCATATTAATCCCTTAAAAAAAATACAAAACTGATTCCCCAAATTCTGGTTGAGCATCTGCTTCAAGAACCCAACCTACAATACCTACTTAAGGTCAGCTCCAGTTATTGTCCCCTCCTTCTCCACTGATTCATTCCCATCAACCTATGGATATACAGGAATATCTGCCATCTTGAAAAACAAACTCCCCTTGAGCTGCTACTCTCTTTCCCTGCTTCCCTGTACAACAAAATCCCTGGAAAGTGTGTCTGACTCTCCTCCTTGCCTACTTCTCTCTCTGTATCCCCACTCTTGGCACTTTCTTCTCATTGCTCCACAGAATTATCCTATCAGTGTCACCAGTAACTCAACATTGCTATAGCCATTGGTCAATTTTCAGTTTTCATCTCACCTGACCTTTTTACAAGCAGCAACTAATTCAGGTGATCACTTCCTCCTTCTTAGACACCTTCCTCACCTGTCTTTTGGGATACAACATTTGTTTGATTATCCTTCCATTTCACTGACTACAGGTGCTTCTTCTCATTTCCTGTGCTTGCTCCTCTTCATGTTCTGAACCTCTTAATACTGGAGAGCTACAGTATGCAATCTTGACCCTCTTCTCATCTCTCCTATATCCCCTCTGTTAGTGACCTTATCCGGTCCCAGGGCTTTAAATACCATCTACATGTTGACAACTGCTAAATTTATATCCTGAGCTAGAATCTCATCCCTTCTTATATCCAGACTCTCGTATCCAACTGTCTACTCTTCATCTTCATTTAGATACAAACAGGAATCTCAGACTTAACACGTCTAAAACAAAATAACGGATCCCTCCAAAAGAAAAGTCCTGGTCCCTCCAGCCCTGAAATCTTCCTTATCTCAGTAAGTTACTCTGTCTTCCAGTTGTTGAAGCCAAAAACCCAAACTTATAACTGACCCCTTGTTGTCTTTTATACCCTGCACCTGGAACTTTGGAGAATTTTTGAGAATATATCCAGTCTCATTTCCTTCAGATCTTTTTCAAATGTCATTTTATCAATGAGACCTTCCTTAATCATCAAATCTATAGAATAAAACCCTGTCAACTCTACTGAGAGAGTCTCTGTTGTTGTTGTTATGTGCCGTCAGGTCAGACCCGACTCATAGTGACCCCTCCTTGGGTTTCTGAGGTGGTATCACTACGGAAGTAGATTGCCCAACCTTCCTTCTGAGGAGTGGCTGGTGGGTTTGAACCACCAGCCTCCTGGTTAGCAGGCAAGTGCCTTAGGCACTATGCTTACCAGAGCTCCTGGGAGTCTCTGGGTGGCACAAATGTATAACCACTGCTACTAACCAAGAGGTTGATGATGAGTCAGAGTTGTCTTCATGGCAACTGGTTTACTCTACTGGTCCTTGTTATTCCCCTTAACCTGCTTTATTTTTTTCACTATTTGACATACAGTATATTCTCTTGTTTATTTGTTCACTGTCTTCCTAACTAGAATGTAAGCTTCAAGACTTGATCTTGCTCTAGTTCCTAGTGACTGGCACAGATTAGGTGTTGAATAAATTTTTTAAATAAATGAATGAAATAAAAGGGTATGTCAATAATTACACATGCATTCTCCAATTGAATAAGGTGATGGTACTGAGGAAAGAGAAGCACTTGTGCAGGAAGATCTAATTGGTGTGAAGATACAAGTCATTTGGAGAGGGAAGACCAGCATCCAGACAGAAAAAAGTAAGTATAAAGCCTTAAGGTGGGAATGAGCTAGGCCCCATAAAGGAACATCAAAGAGGGCCTGTGTGTCTGAAACAGAGACAACAATACCTGAGAGATGAGATGTGAGAGATTGTAAGCAGCTGCATTATGCAGTTATTTGTGGACTGTCCTAGAACTCTGGAAAAGGGTCTTGATTAGACACATACTGTTACTTCCTCTATTGTAGCACTCGCGCGCACACGCATTCACAGTAACGCAGTCAGGCGCATCTCCCTGAACACTTAATGGTCTGAAATCTATTTACGCCTCTGTCAACATGACAGGATCTTTTTGCTTATGGTGCATCTTGTAACGATGGGATCCTAAGAAACCCGCAGATTCAGTCATCAGCCAGCACAATCTCTAGGCCATAAATGAGATCGCTCATTCACTTATCCCTTCAATCTCTGAAATTATGCACGTACTAACTTCACGGGATTTCTAAACTTTTTTGCCAACCCCTCTCTCCTACTCAGATCTGGCCCATTACGGTTCATCCTGTTTTCCGGGAAAGACTTGTGGAAACAATAAGCACCGAAGCCCCCTAGCGTTCTTCCCAGAAACCCACACCGCCTGCCGACATTCCCGACCCTAGTGCCAGCCCTCCGGCTGCCAGACTCAGCCCAGACGTGGCTGAAGCGCAGCCTCTCAAGCGCGTAGCCCCTCCGCCCTCTCACGGGGGGCCCAACGCAGCCCCACCCCGGGCTTCCCGCGGAGGCACCAGCCCGCCCCACCTCCCCAGCCCGCGCCCGCCAACTCCCAGTGCGCGCCGCTGATTGGCCGCCTCATTCCCGCTTTCCTTCCCGAACCGCCATTTTGAAAATCTTGTTGATTCTGGGGAGCCGAGAGCGCGGCGCGAGCGTCACGCGTGAGAGCGTCCCGCGCGCCTTCTCTTTGGCGTCCGCCGCTGCCGCCGCTTCCCGAAGCCTCCTCGTGGCCTCGCGCGCCAGGCCCGTGGCGTCCGGGCCTCGCGGTGAGAGCTGCGTCCGGGGCCGAGGAGGTCGAGAGGCAGTCGTGGGCCCGCCGAGGGCGACAGGGATGGACGCGGCCATTTGGACTACGGCCTGGGGCGGAGGAGGGGACTGGAGTTGCCAGCTGACGCGGGCCGGGCCGGGCGCGCTGGGCGGCGGGAGGGGGCGGGCTCGGCACCGCGGGTTCCCGCCTCGGGAATCCCTGATGGCGGGCGGAGCGGAAGGGAACCCGCCCCTGGGGAGGGAGCGCTGCTGTCCTAGCTGCGGGAGGAGGCAACTTTGAGGATCAGTTTGCCTCTGCGGTGGGCCGGCGAGGGTGTGATCCTAAGGCGGCTCTGGGACCTGGACCTCCTGCTTCCTCTCCGCCCGCAGGTCGTCAACAGCATGTCCTCCTCGGCCCCCGCTGCAGAGGGAGAGGGAACCCCCGCCCAACCCGCGTCCGAGAAGGAACCCGAGATGCTCGACACAAGAGAGGAAAGTGAAGAGGAGGATGAGGACGAGGACGAGGAGGAGGAGGATGAAGAGGAAGAAAAAGGTGGGGGGATGTCCTGTTTAGATGAATTTTTTAGTTGCAAGTTTTGCTTGTGGAAAACCGCTTTCTTGCTCTTTTTTGCTCTTAAGACATTAAAATAATTTGCCAGGAATGTATGCGAAATGTACCATTAGCTTTGTGAATTCCATTGTTTTCCTTTATGTGCGTTAGCATTGCTGTTCATGAATCTGGGAGTGCAGTTGACTTCTTGCCAGCAATCTGCGTTCATAACATTTCATCTTTTGACAGGAAGTTTGTAATTTTTTTTTTTTAATCAGTGTGTTTGTTAACCTTTGAATTTACTGAGCTAATTTTTTTTTTTTTTTTTTTTTTTTTTAGTCTTTGGCTAGTTTAATTACAGATTTTGTCTTGTGAAGTTATTGTAAGCTCTTTGGAGAAACCTCATTTTAAGATTAAAAGAAGTTATTAATACTAATCTTGGAAATATTTTCATGTATTTAAAATATTTATATGTTTGCTGAACTTCAGCAGAGGTCTCCAGGAGGCCTCAGAGGGTTTCTTTCATTGGAGAACACTATAAAAGCTATTGCTACTTGGACCGAGAAAGTTAAATAGCCCAGAGCTATCATTTTTGGAGCCCAAACTGACCTAAGGGAGGGCGATAGTAAACATTATTTGAATGCAGGCAGGAAACAGAAGAATTTTACAGAGTTAAGGAGTGGTACTTTGCCGGTTTATCCAAAATACATGGAGTATCTATCTTTGTGCTGTTTAAACTTCATAAGATGTTTGGAAGCATTTAAAAAGCCGAATCACAAATTGTAACTTTTTTTTTTTGATGATATTACCCCAATTCAGGTTTACCTCAGCCAAACTTGGGAAGAGGTTGGAAATTTTCTTCTCCAGCTGTCTGTTTCTTTTAAGCCTTAAGTGTAAATTTTTTTACATCTTGTAAATGCAGTCTAGGTTAAGATTACAAAGTATTCCTTTGTTTGCTTAAAGTGATATGTGCTGTATGAAGGGAGCATGTCTACATTTATGAAAGTGTTTAGAACAAAATGTAAATTTTAGAATTATTCATAATATAGTGACTGGAAATTGACTGCAGTATCACTACTGGTTAAAGACTTTCTCCATACCCTTTTCTTCAATTTTTTTTTTTTAGGGCAAGGTTGAGATACAATAACAGATGATGAGGATTTTCTTTACATGAGGGAAAGAAATAAAGATGTAATAATACTAAAAATGGCTAACAGTAATGTTTGGAGGATTGACAGTAGTTCAAAGAATCCTATATTTTGTTCAGTATGAATAGATTGTGATTTTTTTTTAGCATAATTTTATTTTTAAAATGATCCCCACATAGGGTTTTAGTTCTGATTTGTTTTTTCATTACTTTGAAGAACTTGTGGGATAACCAAAATTGTGAGCATTTTTATTCTACTTAACCCTGAAAATTTAACTCTACTACTAAGTATCAGGAAAGCAAGGCAGTGAAGTTAATGATGTCTGTCAAGCAAGGGGTCAAATTGACCAACCCAGGCAGTGGTTTTGTGGTTAGGATTTGTGGTGAAAGAGAGAGTAACAGTTTCATAGATGACTCCTAGTTTCTGTCTTAGGCAGCTGGGTGTATGGTATCACTATTTGCTGAAGAAAATTGACAGAGGGCAACAAGTTTGAAGATGATTATGACTTCTGTTTCAGATGTGTTGAGTTTAAGGACATGAAGTAGAGCTATCACGTTGCCATATATTAGTTGATCTCTGGGAAGTCATTAGCTTAGAAATGGTAATGAAAGGCAAGAAATGGTTCAGATCACTCAGGGAAAGGAAACAAAGTGATGTCTGCCTTAGAGTGCTTTCTCTTCACTCTACAGTGTTGCCAGAACATACCTGCTGGAATCCCTTTCTGTCTGCAACTCAGATCTTTTAAGTCTTACCTGCCCTTCAAAGTCAGCTCTAATGTCTTGATACTTTTTTCCCTTATCCAAAAATAATCACTCCCTCCTCAATGTACAAAACCTTTATTTGGATCTTAAGGTGTTTTATCATCTTCTACATGAGCATTTGAATGAATGAAAGGGCCGCTAACAATATACAGTCATGTGCCACATAATGTCTGTTTGGGCAATGTCTAACTGCATGTACATCCTGTAAAGTTATACTAAAGTTCAGAAGTCCCTATCACAGAGCAGGATGTAGTGAATGCAACAGTTTCCTGCACATAACACGTGTATTTCCTCTCTCTTACATATATACAAAGCAGTTGTGCTGCCAGGTGAATAATGGTATAGTACATATATAACATATGTTTTCGTAGTTATAATAAATGGCTATGTTGTTTATGTATGAATTGTACTGTACTTTCTATCTAAAAAGTTTACCAAATAACAATGTATGCTTCTATTCTCCTGTATCACGTATCTCTTCTTTTGAAAATATTGCCATGAAGTGCATCATAGCTCCCAGATACAGCAAAACTAGTGCTGGTGATAACATCAGTAAGAGGCAAGGAAGTATTGATCTGGGAGTCAAACAAAAGGTTATCAAACAATACGAAGGTGAGAAATTTGGTGAATGCTGTTGCATCCTCAAAAAGAAAAAGAATCCCCAAGCTGTTAAAGACTAACAAAAATGAAAATGTGAGAGGGACTATATCAAATATGGAGAAGTTGCTGACGACATGGATTGAGGACCCAACGCAAAAGTGAATCCCTCGGCACATTGAAGATCACTGCTAAGGCACAAGGCTTGTTCAAGACACTTAAAGAAAAGGCAGGACCAGACTATGATAAGGTGTTTGCACAATGCCAAACTCATGTAACATCCTATTTCAAAAACATATCATGGACATTAAGTTACGTGTAACTGTACAATATTCTGTTAGGTTTTATTTCAGTCAGTAGATAAATGATTTTAGATAAATCAAGCTTAATGTTTTAAGTTTTAAAGGATATGTAATATATTTCACCTTTTTTTAAAAAAAGCATTCTGGATTAAACATAATTTAACTTTTTTAAGGGTGTTTTATGGACATCATTTGTTCATAATTGACAAAATAATACCCTCCCAATTGATTGCAGTAAAATTATAGAATTTGCCCTACCCATTGTAACTCTAGGCTGCTCTGCCACAAGATCCTTGTTTTTGTCACTTCTGTCAGCTTGCTAAATTATTGCTGTTCTCTGTATATCTTTTGAAGCCCTTTTTGTAATCTAAACTTGATGTTTCTGATGTATGCCAAACCGTGAATCACAATTTATAGAATTGTCTAAACAAAGAATAAGTTTAAATTGAGGGCCTATGTAGATTTTTACCAGTAAAGTGAATGCACTCCATTAGCAGTAATTGTCATTGGATAAAAGTAAGTTTATTCTTCTGATTTTTTTTTTTTTCCCTCTTAAACCAGATCCTGTGTGAGGTTGTCAGCTAAGTAATTTGTTATTCTAAAAAAACTTCAATACTGTTAACTTACCAAGTGTTTTCATCGTTTGCTTGTTAAAATTTCCGAGGAGAATTAGATACTATGTTTCTGGCATCTTTTTCTGCATGTTTATCCAATGAAGTTAATATATTCTTTAAGCTTTCTGTTACTTAAGAAATATTAAATTAACTTCTAGAAAAGAGTCTCATTGTGGAAGGCAAGAGGGAAAAGAAAAAAGTGGAGAGGCTGACAATGCAAGTCTCTTCCCTACAAAGAGAACCATTTACAATTGCACAGGGTGAGTTTATTCTGTATTCCTTTGATTTTGTGAAAATGCCTAAATATATAAAATAATATTCTCAGTGCTTAATTTTTAGTGTTTAGTAAGTAGTACTGTACTTTTGAAGTAATTTTCTTTAATCTGCCCTATTAGAAAGTTATATGTAAATTGTGCATATAATTTTGAAATAGCTTGGTATATGTATTAAGCAGTGGATATTTAATTATTGTGGTGTCTTCTAGGAAAAGGACAGAAGCTTTGTGAGATTGAAAGGATACATTTTTTTCTGAGTAAGAAGAAAACAGATGAACTTAGAAATCTGCACAAATTGCTTTACAACAGACCAGGCACAGTAAGATATTTTATCTCTCTCTTTTTTTCTTTAATCTACTAGCCTGTTGATGTATTAAATACTTTACAATAAACCCACTGCCATCAAGTCAAGTCAAACTCATGGTGACCATGTTGGACAGAGTAAAACTGCTCTATAGGGTTTCTAAGGCTGTAAATCTTTAAGGAAGCAGACTGCTTCATCTTTCTCCCATGGAATGGCTGGTGGGTTCAAACTGCCAACCTTTTGGTTAGCAGCTGAATGCTTTGACCATTGCACCATTAGAGCTTTTTGCTTCATGATAGAAGCATTGTTTGAGTCCTGGAAAGGATCTTAGAATAGTTGAACAAACTAAGACATACTAAATTACTTTGACAAGACTCACAGCTGGTTTTTAGCAACTAGGGCTGTAATATCAAGGACTGTTTGAACTGCAGGAAGCTGTTAAAGCATTTGGCTGGAACCAAAAGGTCAGTCGTTCCAGCATACCAGCCACTCTGCAGAAGAGATTTACAGCCCTGGAAACTTTATGGGGAAACTGTCCTGTACAGTTGCTATGAGTCAGAATTGATTTTGTGGCAGTGGATTTGTTTTTTGGTTTTGTTTTACCTGCAGTTGTTTTTATCCAAAACTGAAATTTCTACTCAGGAAATCCAAATTGTGATAATTTTACTGATTATTAAATTTATTAGAAGAAATCTATTTTTGGGTGTTCTGGCTATTCAGAATAAATGATTCAGTGCAATTGTATCTCATTTTGAGCAAATATCTGATAAATAACATGGTAATTCTATGCCAGAGGATTTGTTAGAATAAATCAGTGTTTCACTTACTCAGTTATTACAGGGTACATAAAATAACGTATATGCTTAAAATTGAGGAAACTGCTCTGAGTTGTATGTGGGCAAGGTAAAGTTTGACATTGTTAGACTAGATTATCTGAAGCATGCTATAATTGATTTTTGCATATATTATCTCAATCTATCCTCATTAAGTCCTATAACTAATAACTGATACTAACTTTTTGGATTCTTTCATTTTGCAAAGAGTAAAATCTCTAACTTCTTGATTTGGAAAATAATCTACTTAGGAAAGGAGTCATCTTTTTAAGTAGTAAATTTACACATCCCTTGGTACTGTCAGATAACATTTAGTTGTGGCTTTGTAATTACCAGTAAACATTCTCAGATGGAAATTTAGATATATATTGTGATTTTTCAAAGGATTAAGTTTGTAGACCATTTATGATGTTAACATATTGTTGTTATGTGCCGTCAAGTCGGACCCGACTCATACCGACCCCTCCTATTAATTACTCCTACAGACGGCTGGCTAGTGGTTCAAACCCACCAGCCACTCCTCGGAAGGAAGGTTGAGCAATCCTACTTCCGTAGTGATACTGCCTCGGAAACCCAAGGAGGGGTCGCTGTGAGTTGGGTCGACTCCACGGCACATAACAACAACAACAACAACATTACATAGTAGTAATTAAATCATTTTTCAGTTTTGAATAAAATGTTGAAAAAACAAACAATTTAGACATGCTGGCTTTTAATTTTTTCTTGTGTACATTACTGTATAATACATAGCACTAACAAGAAGAGAAATATTTTCAGGTATCCTCATTAAAGAAGAATGTGGGGCAGTTCAGTGGCTTTCCATTTGAAAAAGGAAGTGTCCAGTATAAAAAGAAGGAAGAAATGTTGAAAAAGTAAGTTATTTTTGTAAATACCATGTTTTGATCAATGTACTTTCAATTTTTTAGCATTAGTATATGATCATTCATTCATTTTTAATAGATTGTTATTCTTTGCTTTAAATGCCAAGACCTGACTTGTTTTCATTACTATTCACTTGGAAAGTCTTCATGTCTGATGAAGAGTATATATTAAGATTATTGAGAAGTTTTTTTAAAATTGTTGTGATTTGGGTGAAAGTTTACAGAGCAAATTCATTTTCCATACAGCAGGTCATATATACTTTGTCTCATGACATTGACTGTAATTTCCCACAATGCCACAGCTCTCTTCTCACTTCCTCATTATAGTTACGTCTTCCTGTGTCCTTCCCTCCCATGTATTCCTGCCCCCCAGCTATCGCCCTGTGGATACACAGCCCTTTTATTCTCCCATGATTGATCTCTCCAAGGAGTGTATCTACCTAGTGTAAGTGTTCAGCTCATACGCCTGTCTTTTGTTTGGCTGGAAGCTACAGGAGTGGGTTCAATTCTAGACCTGAAGGGCAGGTAGGGGCTATGGTCTCAGTGGTTCCATCAATTTTTATTAGACCAGAGAACCTTGTTCGTCGCCCACCCCCTCTTTTTTTTTTTAATTATTTTGAGTTTTGTTCCACGTTGTTCTCCCACTCTAACCAGGATCTCCTACTTAGATCCCTCTCTGAGTGGCTGACAGTGGTAGCCAGGCACCATCTAGTTCTTCTGGTCTCATAGTCATATAGACTGAGGATTGCATGGTGTACCAGTCCCTCGGACTAACTGTTTCCATGTATCTTTGGTTTTCTTCATTCTTCTTTGCTCTGGACAAGGAGAAATCCATTATTGCATCTAGATGGCCACTTGCAAGCTTTTAAGATCTCAGTCACTACTCACCAAAGTAGGATGTGGAACAATGTTTTTGTGTAGTATGTTATGCCAATTGAGCATGATGTCCCCTGCGACGGTGTTCCCAAGCCCGCAGGTACAACTACTCACTCCCTCTGGGTAGCTGGCTGTGGCCAAGAAGTGACTA